TTCCACCCCCGCCCCCTAAAAGTGTCTCTGGTTCAAGTTTTTTGTTGATTTTGATTTTCACTTTCTTATAGTTATTCATTTTCCTGGTCCCTTATTTAAGTTTTCTAGATTCCTGCTATGAGTGAGACCATCCGGTATTTTTCTTTTTCTTTTGGCTTATTTTCGCTGAGCATGATCCCTTCCAGCGCCATCCATGTTGCTGCAAATTGCATGTGTTTATCTTTTTTGAATGCTGAGTAATATTCCATGGTATATATGTACCACATCTTCTTGATCCAGTCATCTATTTTTGGGCATTTGGGTTGTTTCCAAAGCTTAGCTATTGTAAACAGTGCTGCTTATAACATAGGGGTGCAGGTGTTCTTTTGGAATTGATGTTTCTGTGTCCTTTGGGTAAATACCTAGGAGTGGAATTGCTGATCATATGGAAGCTCTATGTTTAGTAGGTCCAGAAATCTCCATACAGCTTTCCACAGTGGTTGGACCAGTTTGCACTCCCACCAACAGTGCAGAAGAGTTCCTTTTCTCCACACCCTGCCAACATTTGTTGTTGCTAGTTTTTTTAATATGTGCCATTCTCACTGGTGTAAGATGGTATCTCATGGTAGTTTTGATTTGCATTTTCCTGATGACAAGTGATGTTGAACATTTTTTCATATGCCTGTTGGCCATTTGCATTTCCTCTTCAGAGAAGTTTCTTTTAAGCTATCTGCCCATTTTTTGACTGGATTATTATCTTTGTTGTTGTTGAGTCTCATCAGCTCTTTGCAGATTTTTGTGATCAGTCCTTTATCATTAGTGTTGGGTGCAAAAATGTTCTCCCAGTTGGTGGGGTTTCTCTTTGTTTTTGTTATTGTCTCTTTTGCTGTGCCAAAACTCTTTAATTTGATGTAGTCCCAGCTGTTTATCTTTGCCTTCACTATCACTGCTTTGGGTGATGTGTCTGTAAAGATGTCTTTGATGTGCAAATCACGTAGTGTTTTTCGCCTATATTTCCTTCTATATATTTTATGGTTTCAGGTCTTATGTCTAGTCTTAATCCATTTTGAGCTGATTTTTGTGTATGGTGTGAGGTGGTGGTCAAGCTTCATTCTTTTGCATGTAGCGACCCAGTTTTCCCCAGCACCATTTATTGAACAAACTTTCTTTGCTCCAATGCATATTCTTTGCTCCTTTGTCAAGGATTAGTTGACCATAAATCTGTGGGTTTATTTCTGGATTTTCTATTCGATTCATTGGTCTGTATGTCTGTTCTTGTTCCAATACCATGCAGTTTTTGATGATTATGGCTTTGTAGTATAGTTTGAAGTCTGGGAGTCTGATGCCTCCATTCCTTCTTTTTTTTTTCAGGAGAGCTTTGGCTATTCGGGGTTTTTTGGTGATTCCATATGAATTTCATCAATAATTGTTCTATTTCTTTGAAGAATGACATTGAAATTTTGATTGGAAATAGCATTGAATCTGTATATTGCCTTTTGGTAGGATGGCCATTTTAATAATGTTTATTCTTCCAATCCAGAGCAGGGGATGTCTCTCCATTTCTTTGTGTCTTCTTCTATTTCTTTTAAAGTGTTTTATAGTTTTCTTTGTATAGGTCTTTACCTCTTTTGTTAGATTTATTCCCAAATATTTGATTTTTTTTGTTTCAATAACAAAAGGGATGGTCTTTTTGATTTCTTCTTCTTCAGATTTATTGTTTGTGTATAGGAAGGCTACTGACTTTTGCGTGTTGATTTTGTATCCTGCCACTTAACTGAATGATTGATGAGTTGAATTAGCTTTTCTGTGGAGTTTTGGGGTTCTCTATGTATAATATCATATCGTCTGCAAATAGTGATAGTTTGACTTCTTCTTTTCCTATTTGGATCCTTGGATGTCTTTCTCTTGTCTTATTGCCCTGGCTAGGACTTCCAGTATTATATTGAAAAGCAATGGTGAGAGTGGACATCCTTGTCTTTTCCAGATCTTAATGGAATTGCTTTCAGCTTTTCACCATTGAGAATGATACTGGCTGTTGGCTTGTCATAGATGGCCTTTATGATGTTGAGGTATGTTCCTTGTATCCCCAGAATTTCAAGGGCTTATCATGAATGGGTGTTGCACTTGTCGAAAGCTTTCTCAGCATCTATTGATATTATCATATGGTTTTTTATATTTCTTTTTGTTGATGTGTTGGATAACGTTGATTGATTTTCGGATGTTAAACCATCCTTGTGCCCCTGGAATGAATCCAACTTGGTCGTGGTGAATTATCTTATGGATACATTGTTGGATTCTGATAGCTAAAATTTTATTGAGGATTTTTGCATCAGTGTTCATTAGGGAGATTGGCCTGTAGTTTTCCTTTTTTGTGTTGTCCTTGTTCGGTTTTGGTATTAGTGTAATGTTGGCTTCATAAAAGTGTGGTATTGTCCCTTCCTTCTCAATTTTTTGGAAGAGTTTGTGAAGGATAGGCACTAATTCGTCTCTGAATGTTTGGTAGAATTCATTTGTAAATCCATCAGTCCTGGGCTTTTGTTTTTGGGGAGGTTTTGATTACCATTTCAATTTCGCTATTGTAATTGGTCTGTTTAGGTGTTCTATTTCTTCTTTATCTAGCTTTGGTGATTGTAGAGTTGTAGGAATTTGTCCATCTCCTCTAGATTGTTAAACTTGTTTCCATATAACTGTTCATAGTAGTTACTGATTATTTCTTTTGATTTCTGCTGTGTCCGTTGTGATTTCTCCTCTTTCATTGATGATCCTGTTATTTGTGCTTTCTCCCTTTTTTCCTTTGTGAGCCTGGCTAGGGGTTTGTCTATTTTTATTGATTTTTTCAAAAAACCAGCTCTTGTTTCATTGATCTTTTGGATTGTTTTTTAGTTTCAATTTCATTTATTTTGCTTTGTTTTTATTATTTTTCTTTTCTTCTACTGGTTTTGGGGTTTTTTTGTTGTTCTTTTTCTAGATCTTTGAGCTTCGAGATTAGGTTGTTTCTTTGAGTTCTTTCTTGTTTCTTGATGTGAGCTTCTATTGCTATATATTTTCCTCTTATTACTGCTTTTGCTGCATCCCATACATTTAGGATATGTGTTCCTCCTTGTCGTTCAATTCAAAAAATTTTTAATTTCTTCTTTGATCTCCTATTAGTCCAATGGTCTTCCAGTAGTGTGGT